TGTGTCCGATTGGGTCTGTGTCCGATCGAGCCTGTGTCCGATCGGGACTGTGTCCGATCGGACATGTGTCCGATCGGATCTGTGTCCGATCGGGAAATATTGTCGTGTCCGATCAGTAATGTGCGCAATCGGGACGATCCCATAAGGCTAGCGCCGATGTCCGGCTGCTATAATTTATTATAAACAAAATAGAACCATCGCGGTGGTCTCTTCATATTGTTTCATATTTATATAGAGCTTCTTAGTATTGTATGCATCGGATATAAAATATTCCGCACGAAATATTAATTATATTTTGGACGTTCCTCGCGCTATCTCTCTCGCACCGCCTTACGAACGCAGTATCTCGCATCATCATCCACGCGCATGCCTCGCGCTATCCTTCTCGCGCTATCCTTCTCGCACGCCCATAGAATGCTATCCTTTTCCTACTCGCGAACGCCTCGCGCTATCCTTCTCCCACCCGGTCGCGCCGCAGTTACATATCTATCTTATATGCGAGAAAGGCTAGCGAAATAATCATTTTGTTCATTTTTTTAACACATTTATTTATATTACCATACATCACCTCGTCTCAAAGGTTTCAGACAAAAGTTCATCCACAGCATAAGCTAATAGTTCGCAATCTATGATAGATGTTTTATCATAGACTTCGCGCAAGATTTTGACCGCAGAATCTCTTTCGGCGCCAAACATATTACTTTGCACACTCCGGACAAATTGATCGAAACTCTCATTTACGGCTTCTAAATTTTCGCACAGCTTCAAATATTCGTGAGTAACACAGTGTTCGATTTCGAATAAGAAAAATATAGTTGACGGTTTCATGTACAAGCAAGAATCGCGCAACGTAAGTTTGACAACACTCGCATCACTTATTTTAACAATCTCAATTGTTAAATCGTTAATCCATATTGGTGTATGATCGGGCGTTTGCACAAGTCGTTCAACGTCCGCTCGTTTCAGCATTAGCGATTCCCATGTGTCAAACGCTGGTACGTGTCGTACAGAATCGACCATCTGTTTTTATCGAAATCTAGATTCATATCGTCGTACGGATAACATTCCGAGTTCAGATAGAGTTTCACGTTGGTCAATTTGCAATGGTCGAATCGACTCGAATCCTCGAACATGACGTTCTTCCGGCCTGTCTGCAGAACAAAGACAACGTATCGCGGCTTCTCCAGCTGAGTCGCGGGCTTAATGGGCCACGAATGTTTGGTTGTACGATGCAATAGCGGAAATTCGTACAGATCCCACGAGCGAAAATCTATGCTGATGTATTGTCCGCTTTCCAAGGCGCGCAGCATCGACAGCTTATTAATCTCATTCAATACCACGTGCGGCATTCGCCATTGTATCTTGAATATGTCGATCGCAGGCTTCAGTGCCAAATTTCCTATCAGACAATTGTTGCCGTTGCGCGATCGTATTAAGATCAACTCGTGACGAGCGTTAATCACCACGCGTCTGTAATCCTCGCAAAATCCCAATAACATGTAGAGCGGTACGCAAAAATTGAAGTATCCATTTGCGTTAGTCGTATCATATTGCGCATCCCAGCCGGCGTTCCTCATAACTACGGTTTTATCGGATGATATCGTTGCAAAGTTCTTGAGTGTGCTAGTTGTGGCGATAAAAATTCATTCGCGCAACTGCACATGCGAGAAAGCGGCCGCGCCGACAGTACGGGCGCCGCCGCTGCGCGGCGCACGCCGAGCGAGCTTACCCGTGAGCCGAAAGACGCTCAGGCAGCTACATATACGCCGCGAGTATCCAGTACCGGTCACCTCCGCTAGGCGTCACACGCCAGGAATGCATTTCCGTGGGCCAAAGTCAACCCACGGGGATCATAAGCAGGCTCATCGGGGAGCCAAGACACATTCAGTAATTAGCGCATTTTCGATACGTCAAAATACGACACGGCGCCTAGTCGCCTCGATCAGACCACGAAGAAGCCTCCAGCCATCAACACGAAGGGCGCAAGGAAGAATTCTCCTCGGGAAGGAGAAGTAGGAGTGCGAAAGCACACAAGACCAGCACCTCTACATCTCCTGACCCGGAGAAAACCAGGCGCATCCTCGCCTTCGCCTGGCGCTCAGCGCCAACCCGCCGGCGCATCCTTGCCTTCACCTGGCACCCTACGCCAACCTTCCGGCGCCAAGTCGCCTCCTCCGGGCGCCATGCGCCACAGCTCCGGCGGATCCTCGCCTTGGCCCGGCGCTACTCGCCACAGTTCCGACGCATCCTCACCTCGGCCTGGCGTACCTCGCCAACGCTTCGGTGAATCATCACCTCGAACTGGCGCCACGCGCCCCAGCTCCGGCCATTCACCCACACGTCAGAGATCTCGCGTCCTGAGCATCGTCTCGGCCCCTCATCTACAGCGGCTGTCGGGAAAACGGCGCCATAATAGCACTGAACGTGCTTGCAGCAAGCGTCCTCGGCGGAGCAAGGACGGAAAGGAAGCAGGGCCTCCAACCCAGGAACCGCACAGGCGGGAGCCGGTGTCCGATATTGGACCAACGTTGGAGCTTCATCCGATGTCCCCAATCACACTCTCATCCTCCGACGAAGGTCAAGGAAGGCCAAGGACACCCCGCCTTAGGGAGCCATCGCCAGATCTAATAGATTCGTGGTGTCTGCCAGCTTGGGACCCTCCAAAATACCGCTCGGTGGAGACTTAGACGGAGGAACAGAAGTCGACATGTGAGCAAGGATCGCAGACGTGCGGAAACACGTACTCCAAAACCGACCAGGCCACGCAAACGAGAAAGCGTGGGGGACTACGCCGATACGTCCCTATTGATTATTATAGACAATGTAAATATGTAAAGGAAATATAATTAGTTACTACCATTAAGCCTTACTCATTTACGGCCAGAACCTAAGCGATTCCTACCTCCCAAGCGATCACATTAATATAAGTAAGCGTAGACGCTACACCCATCTTTTATGTATGAATAAAAACTGTGTAATAGATATGCACAGTCTGCAAAACTTAAATCTTTCTCTCGACATACTCTGCTTAAGATGTAGAAAAATGATGAGGTAGATGAGACGTGATATTCCAGTTAGAAGGAGACAAAATATATGAAATTAAAATATATATAATCGAGAGGAGTGTGCAACGTTATAGTACGCAATCG